ACTCATGTTTCTAATATTATGCAGGGATTCCTTTCAATCCAGCCCATAAAAGGAACTGAAAAGTATTTATATATGGGAAACATAATGAAGGCACAAATAGAAGGAATTGTGACTTACAGATTGATTCTAGACACTCGTTATTGTCTGAATCTTGAAAATTGTCTCTATGTTCCTGGTTGTGCTAGAAATTTAATTTCTGTTGCAAAGTTGGATTGTTTAGGTTTTAACTTTGAGATTGAAAATGATATTTTTTATTTTTATAATCTTTCGTACTATTATGGTTTTGGTACATTATTGGATGGTTTATATCGTTTAAATCTTGATGTTACTTTTTCTGAATCCTTGTTTAATGTTGAACCTGTTGTTGATAAAAATTGTGGTGTAGGAAAAGAATGTTCTGCTTTCTTATGGCATAAAAGATTGGGTCACATATCTAAAGAAAGGATGTTGAGGTTAATGAAAAATGAAATTTTACCTCAATTGGATTTTGATGACTAGGATGTATGTATTGATTGTATTAAGGGTAAACAAACAAAACACATCAAAATATCTCGCCACAAGAAGTAGTCAACTTCTTGAGTTAATACACACTGATATTTGTGGGTCTTTTGACATTAAATCTTGGAGTGGTGAAAAAATATTTTATCTCCTTTATTGATGATTTCTCACGTTATTGTTATATATATATATCTATTACATGAAAAATCTCAATTAGTGAATGCCCTTGAGGTGTTCATAAATGAGGTCGAAAGACAATTAGATAGAAAAGTAAAAGTGGTGAGCTCTGATAAAGGTGGTGAATATTATGGTAAAACTGATGAGATTGGACAATGTCCAGGTCCATTTGCAAAGTTTCTTGAAAGTCGAGGTATATGTGCACAGTATACAATGCCCGATACACCACAACAAAATGGTGTAGCAGAAAGACGAAATCGTACTCTTATGGATATGGTTAGGAGTATGTTAAGTCATAGTAATATTCCTTTATCATTGTGGATGTATTCATTAAAGACTACTGTATATCTGGTTAACATGGTTGATAGCAAAGCAGTTTCTAAAACTCCTTATGAACTATGGACTGGAAGGAAACCCAGTTTGAGACACCTTCATGTTTGGGGTTGTACAGCAGAAGTAAGGTTATACAATCCACATGAAAAGAAGCTTGATGCAAGAACCATTAGTGGTTACTTCATCGGTTATCCTAAAAAATCAAAGGGATATAGATTTTATTGCCCTAACCATAGTACAAGAATAATTGAGTCTGGAAATGCTCGATTCATTGAAAATGGTCAATTTAGTGGGAGTGAGGAATCACGAATAGTGGATATTCAAGAGCATACTGATAGTGTTTCTACATTTAATGTCTCTTCTGAAGTTGTTATCCCTCTTGTTGTATCATAGTCACACAACAAGTAGAAACAACAAGTTAATGTTCCAATGCCGCAAAATGAACATATAAATGTTGAGCCATTTGACAATGATCAAGTCACAAATGAACAAGTCATAAATGAGCAATTGATAGAGGAACCACAAGAAGCAACATTAAGAAGGTCCATAAGGGAGAAAAGACTTGCTATTTTGAATGATTATGTGGTTTACTCTGTTGAACATGAATGTGACTTAAGCATTAATGAGGATCTAGTCTCTTTCAAACAAGCCATGGAAAGTAATAATTCATAGAATTGGTTGAATGCTATGAAAGAAGAATTGAAATCAATGGATGACAATAAAGTATGGGATCTAGTTGAATTGCCTAAGGGTTCAAAAAGAGTCGGTTGTAAATGGGTCTTTAAGACTAAACATGACTCAAAAGGCAATATTGAAAGGTATAAAGCTAGATTAGTCGCCAAAGGTTTCACTCAAAAGGAAGGCATTGACTACAAAGAGACCTTCTCTCCTGTTTCTAAGAAGGACTCTTTGAGAATTGTTTTGGCTTTGGTGGCTCATTATGATTTAGAGCTTCACCAAATGGATGTAAAGACCGCTTTTCTGAATGGTGACTTAGAAGAGGAAGTTTATATGGACCAACCAGAAGGTTTCACTATAACAGGAAAAGAATATTTTGTGTGTAAATTTAAGAAATCAATATATTGACTTAAACAAGCTTCCCGTCAATGGTATCTAAAATTTAATGATATCATAACTTCATATGGTTTTGTAGAGAACACCGTTGACCGGTGTATATATATGAAGATCAGTGGGAGTAAGTTTGTAATATTGGTTCTATATGTTGATGACATTCTTCTTGCTACTAATGATATTGGTATGTTACATGATGTAAAGAAGTTTCTCTCTAGCAACTTTGAAATGAAAGATATGAATGAGGCATCTTATGTGATAGGAAAAGAAATATTCTGTGATAGATCACAAGGATTGTTAAGTTTGTCTCAAAAAGGCTATATTAACAAAGTGTTAGAGAGATTCATAATGGAAAAATGCTCTCCTAGAGTAGTTCCAATTCAAAAAAGGGGATAAGTTTAGTCAAATGCAATGTCCCAAGAATGATTTGGAACGAAAGGCCATGGAGTATATTCCTTATGCGTCAGTGGTTGGGAGTTTGATGTATGCTCAAACTTGTACTCGGCCAGATATCAGTTTTGCTGTTGGAATGTTAGGCCGATATCAAAGTAATCCCGGAATGTATCACTGGAAAGCTGCAAAGAAAGTTCTTAGGTATTTACAAGGTACCAAAGAATACATACTCACCTACAGAAGGTCAGATCATCTTGAGATGGTTAGCTACTCGGATTCAGACTATGCTGGATGTGTGGATTCAAAAAAAAACCACATTTTGGTATGTTTATCTATTAGCTGGAGGAGCAATTTCTTGGAAAAGTGAAAAACAATTAGTCATTACTACTTCCACCATGGAGGTTGAATTCGTGGCATGCTTTGAGGCCACGGTTCATGCTTTGTGGTTGCAGAACTTTGTATCGAGGCTTGACATTATTGACAATATTGCTAGATAATAATGTTTTAGAGAGATAAACCGAGTTTTAGAAAATTATATTTATATTATAAGGTTATTTTAAAATAAAATGTTTGTCTCATTATTTTAATACACTTATATACTCTAATACTCTGTTTTCTAGATTCTTACGTTCCTGAAATTAAATTATATAATAAAAATAGTTTGAAAAGATAAGTCATTAATACTATTAGTTAAGGTTTTCAATAAATTATAATGTTGGTGAAATATATATATATATATATGCTACCAATATACCCTATTTTTAGTGCACTGCCCTTCTCTTTTCAACTGATGTTGTATAATGGTAGATAGTCTTAATTCACCTCTAAAATAACCAACCAATACCATTCAAAGTGACAGATAGAGGCACCCTACTCAACTATGCAATGATTACAGGCTATTATTATGAACATACCCATTATCTCTATCTCTTTCCAACATGGAGAGAGAGTAGTTAGCTCAAAGATTTTTAGTTGTACTAATATCACTACCTAAAATTATACTCGTAGAGTTATTGAACATTATAAAGGAGATCCATAAAACAAGAGAAATATAAATATTAAATGATCATCAAATCAATTAAACACAACTATTTCTTATACCAAAATATATTGCAGCATTGTTCTATGTCACCTTAATCACTTATCACCCTAAAGTTTAGGCTTTGACTTCTTCCTTTGTCTTCTGCACTGGATTATCGTTAATCTCTTCCTTCTTCTTTTTAGTTTCTACCGCAATTATTTCTTGTTTCTTTTCTTTTTCTTTTCATTTAACTTGATATATTTCTCAGTTGTTTTCGTCTTTTTCTTTTCTCTCGCTTTTTGTTCCTCTTGTTTTCTCCACCAACCCCACAATGGAATGACTCTTTGAAGTCTCCACTTCCCCACATAGGCAGGATAGGCTCCGAGTAAAACGCACCTTTGTCAAGGTCAAGAAGCCTCTCAACAGGTATTTATTGCCTGACCAAATTTATATTAATTAGACAATATTAAATTAAAACCATAGTATCAATCACAGATTTCTTAACCAATATCGAAAGAACAAGTCGTCAAGAGTGGATTGTGAACGTTACCTTTGACTTCTTGATTTTTCAGCAGATGTTCCTCCAAATCACGTAGACAGAGATTACCGAATCACGAAAATGAAATTTGGAATACTGATAGATGTCAACGGTGAACCATTGAGATTATCCCACACACAACAAATAGACAGGCACTCTTCATAAATCCCCACCATCCTTTTTTTTTCTATCTGTAAGATTGGGCCAACATTTTGATATCTTGGCTGTTGTGATATCATGTTTCTTTGAATTTCATTCTCTTTTCACAATGATACTACCCTCTCATTTTCATTTCTCCAAGCCTACCAATATTTGGCGGCGGGTGTCATGTTGACTTGAATTTGATAGTGGATTCTTCTCACAACAAAATAAGAGCCACCTTGGGATCAGCAAGATTGGTTCGATGACTCTATGAACCACGACGGTCAGTCTCACACTTTGTATCAAGTTACGAATGCTTCTAAGGACACATGTTGCCATTCCTAAGCTTCAGAATAGATCAATAAGTGGTATGGGCAGCAGGACAGTGTGTTTGTTATTGCTTAAGGTTCAGAACAGATCCAAGAGGTGTTTGTGAGCGAAGCTGGCCAGAGAAACGCAAAATCCCCATCCTGCTCATCATTACAAATTCAATCTGTGTTTTTTGATTTACTCACCATACCTTGATTTCTAAATAATCTTTGGAATGAGTTGAGCCAATAACTCGTGAGAAAGAGACCGATCGCTTGGATGTTGTGTTTCCCAATAATACATCACTAAGAGGGGTTTTGGAGGTTAATGCTTGCTTCAGTATCTTAAGTATCTGAAAGAAGATAAGTAAAAGATTACCATAAACTTGAAACTCCTACTATCTAATATTGGACTATCATTCTTGAAACATAAAAAATTCGTGCAAGCGCTTCTCATAAATATGTACCTTTTCTCTTGTCAAGAAGGTCTTCTTTATAGTCTTCTAGTTTTTTCTGTCCAGGTTTAATGAATTCACTTGGAGAGCTTCGGCGCACTGTAAGTTATCATAGATGAAGAACTGGCCTTTTCCTTTAACAAAACAGCCATCGTCAGCAGTAGCCTATTTCCGCAGTTCTATTTCTTTCTCCTCATCAATGCGTTCGCTAGTCGCACGTTACATCACAAACGAGCTCACACAAACTCTATTAACTTCCTTTTTTTGCAAGTTATGACACATGAAATACTTTGTGGTTCTGAATATCCACTTTCAACTTAGCTCTGGCAACAGAGCTCTCTAAGGGGGGTTGGCCGCGGAGAAGTAACATTTTCTGGCAGATCGTGTTCCTAAAAACATCAGTCTTCAAATTATTAACACTCTTGTACAGCTCGTTGATGCAACCAAGCCGTACTTGTTGTTCAGATCTGTTGCGAAGCCCCAACATATCCTTAAAACTCTGGCACAAATTATTGATGCAACCAGTTCCTTCTTCTTGTTTAGGAGGTGTTTGTCACGCCTTTGTTGTTGTTCAGAGTGTGTTCTGAGGTCCTTGTGTTCAGAGCCGTTGTCGCGGCCCTCTTGTTGTTCAGAACCGTTGTTGCGCCCTTCTTGTTGTTCAGAGCCGTTGTCACGACCCCTGTGCTTCATAGGTGTTCACACGCTCTACATGGTCCAAGGTGTCCAAAAGGGCGGATGATGTTTCCCAATGGAAGGGTAAGGGAAAACTGAAGAGAACATCTACGAATTCCCCACTTGCTTCTGCCACAATTACACGCTTTTTGTAATCGTCCACCCAATATTTCAAAGGGATTGTTACCTCTTTGTTGGAAGACATAACTGAAACATAAAACTAAAGAACATTAACGAATTAATCAAACAAAACATGTACGATTTTTGTGAAATTTCTTATACCTCAACTCAATCGTTGCTTGGGTTGTGTTCCCTACGCGATATTTTTAAGAATTATACTTCTTAGTGTATTTTTAAGAGATAAGCTAACATGATGAGAGGGTTATGTATGCTCTTGGTATTAAGGAAGCTGCGAAGAAAAAGGTATAGTTTGGTTCTTCCAAAGATGCTTTTCAATTTAAAGTTCGAAAATTTGTTAAAGTAAGTTCCGTTTTCAGATCCAATTTCTTTTGAATTATAATTAGATTTTTTTAAAGTTTTTTCTAAATTAGGAGATAAATCGAGTCAACTAATTCTACCCTCTCTCCCATGAACTCACTCAACATTGAAGAAATATAAATACTTAAAATTAGTAACATTAAAACTAAATCACTCAAGAAAAAAGAAAAAAAAAATTGAGTTTTACAAGATTCCTCAATGTGTTTTACAGAATAAGGAAAGTTTGGTATGAAGTATTGATCTATAAGAATAAGTATGTTGAAGTCGTTGAAGAAACTGTTTTCTCCCAAGGACACGGAAAGAATTCAGCACATATCATTGAGAGTTTAGAACTTTGAAACGGATATTGACCTAAAGCCCCATAGAGATGAGTAAAACTTCCAAAGTAGACTGTAAAATGCTTTACAATTATACACTCCAGATCCTGATAGATATTTAATTAATCTTTTAGGACAACATGTTTTAACCCAAAAAATATTCTCTCAGCTGCATTACGTTTAATTTTTCAACTTAATGGCAGAAGCGGATATAATAATGTATAAACAATGGCAATAATGATTACAAAGTTAACACATTATTGGTTGGCTGATACTAGACCTCATAGCAAGAAGTAATTTGTAATTAAAGATATATAGGTGTCAATATTCAAGTAACAAACGATAAAAGTAGAATCACATAGCTTGTCACCATACAGTTTTAGAGCAATTGTTTCACTTTTTTATTCTTTATTTTGCTCTTCCTCTTGCTCATGACTTTACTCAGAAAAAGAAAAAAAGTTTGGCAACTAGTTTAGGATACCTTTAAATTATAGCCTTCCATTATAATATGTTTTTTTATGCCAAACACTCTTTCGGTAACGTTTGTCCGAAGGTCGGTCGTCCTTCTTACTATGTTCCATCGACCAACTCTTCAAGTATTTCTTCCCGATTGGTGGTTGACCTGCAGAAGACACTCCGATGCTCAAGTGAGATATGTTTCATAAAGAGGTGTATATTTCATTAGGATAGAAGAATATGATTGTACCTGACATCAATTGTATTATTTATAGAGTTTGTGACAGTCAATTCCATTGATTAGTTATCAGTGCAGTATAATTTTAAGGAACAAAACCCAATAATCAATAATTAACACCGTATATTTGTAGAGCGTAAGGTAATCTGACCTATTTATACCTTATAATTGCCATGGAATTACCATTAACTCCGATCGTTATATTTCAATAAGTACATAAGCCCCCAAGTCCGACCAAGCTCTTTATTAAAAGAGTGCGTATGGATTATTATGAGCTTTAAAGAGGTCTTTAGGAAGTCTATCTCGATGCTTTAAGTTTTCATTGCTCTATGTACCGAGCGACGAACTCTAGGAGTTCTCTTGGACTGTTCCTTAGACTGAACAGAATACAAGAGTTTCTCTTGACCACTTTTTCTCTACAAGAGATTTTCACTCCAAAAAATATGACAAAGTTGAACATGTGAGTAAATGCTTCAATATTGTTTTATAATGAAAAGGCATTTTGAACATGACAAAGTTGAACATGTTGAGTAGTTGATTGATAAGAGTTCTTTTTCGAAGTCCATGCGTTGAACGAGGATTTTGAAGCCCATTTTGTGACTTCCCCCAGAGCGACTTGAGACAGTAGTCATTTTTCTGACTTCCTTCGTTGAGTGGGAGTTTTTGAAGTCATTTTTTTGACTTCCCCCAAAGTGGCTTGAGGCAGGATTCATTTTTCTGACTTCCTTCATTGAGCGGGGATTTCTGAAGCCATTTTCCTGACTTTCCCCGAGCGGCTTGAGGCCGGAGTCATTTTTCTGACTTCCTACGTTGAGTGGGGATTTCTGAAGCCATTTTCCTGACTTCCCCGAGC